CACAGTTGAGTGGACATTTAAGACTGCCTGATGGGTGCAAGAGTGATTAGGTCTGAGGCAAGAGCAATTGCTGCTGGGCACTGATCTGAAGAATCCTTTGTGTCAGGGAAATGGAAAACAAAGAAACAAAAAATGGAGGGAATAGTAAAGGTCAGAATTTTGGAGGGAAAATGAAGGTAAAGGTCAGTGTTGGATACATGTCAAGTCAGGCAGCAGCAATTAGAAACCTGAGCAAAAGCATTTGGGTAAAAGGTTCAGAGACTGAAACATGAAATGCAATCACATGTGGGCAACAGTGGGAACAAGAAATAACGCAGAATGGAATGTGCCAGCTCTGTGCTTTGGCTCTTTTCCAAGGAAGCTTGTCAGGTCAAGGGCTACAGTGAGGACCATAAAGGCCTGGGGACTTGCCTGTTCATTCTTTATCTCTCAGTCAGTGCACAGCCTAGTTCTCTGTAGAGTACAGGAAATATACCCCTGCTGCATATCTGACATGATCTTAACTGTCCAAGTGCCTTCCCTGGCTGCAGGGATCTACAATTTTGAATAGTTCCCTAGAAACTTTTTTAAGACTTATTTTTTTAAAGTAATCTCTGTATCCAACATGGGGCTCGAACCCCACAACCCCGAGATCTTTGATGGAGAGTCACACACTCCACTCACTGAGGCAGCCAGGTGCCCCTCATAGAAACTTTTTCAATGGTCAAATTTCCTAGGGAATTTTCAGCCAGTGTTTGTGGAAGTAAGATTTTTTTTTAAGATAAAAGGTTGGTCCAAAATCTAACCTAGTTTGATCCTAGCTGAATTATTCATTGTAGTAGCCTCTCAGCATTAAGGAATACTTAGTTGATACATGTGAGTGACATCTCAAAGAATCCATAAGAAGGGGAGCAGGTTTTGCGATCCCCAAATATGCCACTCTGGCAGGAGGACTATTTTGAGCTGAAGGCAGTCAAGACCCAGCAGACTCAAGAAATACTTTGACCTCTCCCTTAACTACCTAAATGAATTTAGATAGGGGACCTGGCCCAGAAAGAAATCTATTACTTAGGATAACTTTGTATGCAGAGTCCTGACTAGGGTAGAGCAAACGACTTATTCCCAAACATGGACTCTTCTTACTGGCCTGTGAATCAGCCTCTTCTCCTTTGAGGCTCCAGGCCCCTGGGCCACTCTAGCTCAGGAGGGCATACAAGCCTCAACTGCCCAACTTGTCCTTGAATCTCATATCTCTAGGGCTCCCGTATATATGAAGTTAAATTTTTCTCCTGTTAATCAGTCTTATGTCAATTTAATTATTAGACCAGCCAAAGAACCTAGAAAGGAAGAAAGGAAAGGTTTCCTGCCTTAACACATACCACCCAGTGGGGAGGCTCTGACATAATTTTTGGTATATCAACAATACTGAGCAAAAGGTAATGGTGGAGGAAAAAATGCTTAAGTAACTTGCACCAAGGTATGTCCTGGAAAGTTCACCCATCAGAGGAACTGATAATTGTGGTTTGCAAGGTCTGTATTCATCAAATACTTTAACATAGGTCTTTAGAGAGGTTTTCAAATGAAAGACTTTGAAGGCCTGTAAGATAAGTTAAGGGATTTATGAATAAGTGGCAAAAAATATGATTAATAGTGACATCTTCCAGTTCCTTCTCCGAGCTTTAGTCTTCTGAGGGCTATAGCAATTCCTCTGACAGTTACATAACTGCTAGTGTGACAATAATTTGACTCTTTCAGGAATACTATGATCAGAGACCAAAACTATAAGCTATGTGCTGTGCCTTGATCTTCTGACCCTTGCAGGGCTGGGGAACTTGCAGCTATGCCACCTGTTAACCAAAGTCCTTTCTAAGATGATTTGGATAGACTATTCCCCATGATTATAAGCGTCTCAAGGGCAGGAGATTGCAGGCCTTGCTGCTTTTGTGAATTGATGACTGATGGGCTACAGTTCCCTTAGAAGGAAGGCACACATTAACTTTAAAAGGGATTTTTGGACTATATGATCTTGAATAACATGTTTAGGCTTCTAATGCTTTTATTTTACTAAAAACAAAATGCTCTTAGTATAAAGACATATTTGAAAACCATCGTGGATCTAGGCATTAAAGACTCCTCCAACATTGGCCACAACTTTCTCCTTCATGTTTAGGGAATCAGACAGTCTTGGGAAAGTTTTTCAAACAATTTTCTTGATTCTTCAAACATTTATTTTTGTAGTACTGGAGGTTTTTTGTAGCCATGGGCAACTTAACCTTAGGCTACACATTCTAAAAATAGCCTGGCTGTGTTTGACCCTTCCTGGCTGTGTACCTATCTGTAAGAACAGAGCTTTAATAGTTAATCCTCCTTAGATACAATTCATTTTCCTCCTTTTCTCCATATGATCGCTTAGGGGCCAAGGGCAGGGTGCCCCAAGATGGGCCATTTTGGCATGCAGATTATTCTGAGTTGAAGGCATTCAAGATCCTGTGGGCTCAAGAGGAACTTTTGCCCTTCCCTTAACTTCATAGAAGACTTGAAATTGAGGGTCTTTCCCAGAATAAGGATTATTAGCAGAGATAAGTGTTATCTGAGTGATCCATCTGTATGGCAGGGTAAACATCTAATTACCAAACATCTGTTCTTACCATCTTGTGGATCATACTCCTTTCCTCTGAACCCGCAGACCCCTTCCCCCTTGTCCTTATTTCAGGAAGACATATGCCTGACCGTCTTTGGAATTTCCATGTCCGTGTGGATTCCCCATATGGACACTATTAAATTTGATTTCCTCCCATTAATCTGTCTCACGTCAATTTGATTCTTAATTCAGGTAGAAGGACCCTTAAGGGTACAGGAATTCTTGCTCCCTGACAATCAATAATTGACTGCTACTCCTACCTTGTCCTAAAAAGAAATAAGTGTTGTTCAAGTGAACAGATTTTTATATGTGCCCTCTATCCTCTCTCCACTCTTCCCCTTCTTGAGAAATAATTCAGACTCTTTAATTAGAGCATATTCAAGAGAGTGATCAAGATGGTGGAAGTATTGTATCCATAGAAAGGAAGAAGGAAAAAAAAGAAACTAAACAAGTTGAATCTGAGGAAGTAAAGGTCCAGGAGGACCATGGTGGTAGTCAACAAACTTTTGAAGGGCTGTTTTGGGAAAGAGAGATTAAAAGCATAGAACTGTGGTCAAGGGGTAGACAGACAGTGAAATAGGGATGCTTTCTAATAGTTTTTTCCAGAGATAGAATTGGTTTCCTTGAGAGGGAATGTGATCCAGTACACTTAGGAGCATGTTATGGAATGGTTCAATTACACAACATTTGAGTTGCGTCCAACCCTGGTAAGCTATTTCTGTCCTGTTATATGTATAATATTTCTATTCTCAATTCCTTCATTGACTATATATGTTAAGCTACAGAGAGAAACAATCATTGCTACCTGTCCTTACCTTTTCCCTCTACTCACATCTCCCACAGGTAGACTATTTTAATATTATAGTCTCCTGACAACAGAAGTGTCTGTTTTAATAGCTTTTAGTAACATTATTCAAAGGGACTCTATTGCCCAATAAAGAGGAGGGGGACAGTCTTCAATGTTCTCTTTCTTTTTCAACCTCAAAGTGCCTAGGATTAAACATGTGCTTTGAAATTAAAATCATAAATTTGCTGAGTAAGAGAACACCAAGTGTGCTTGTTCCCAAAGCTGGAAAGTTTTCACTTAGCATAATGTAGGAAAAAAGCCATTTTTCTCTTGTAATGTACATCAAAAATTTCTGCAATGAAAGCAAGGCTCCAAGTTCACAACTGTCTTGTTAAAAAAGAAAAAAACAAAAAGCTCAAACTGGAGTCATTTCCCTCCCCTCCCCAACAGGAAACCAAGACTTAATTACAGTTTTGACCTATCTCAGGCATGTGACCTTTTAAAAGTCAATCTGAAATTTCCTGATCAGCACAAGTGAGTTCATCTGCATGGTAAACAAAACAAAACAAAACAAAACAAAACAAAAAACCCTGGCCTTTCCCTGTCCTCCACCCCTGGAAAGTGTCCAGGCTTGACCCAATCTTTTCGTTTTTTTTTTTTAATTCTTTCTTTTGTTAATGACTTCTTGCCCCACCCTCTTTCCTATAAAAATCTTCCATTTTGTGCAACTACTCAAAGCTGCCCAATTCATGAGTCATTTAATGAAGTCAATTAGATCTTCAAATTTACTCAGTTGAATTTTGTTTTTTAATAGTCTCCAATGTGAAACAGTTATATATATGTATTTATACATATTTTTAACTCTGTGCTACCGTGTTGGGGCTGCTGTGGAATCAGATTTAGTGCAGCAGATATGTACTCAACCACAATCTATCTTCCTTGAATTATTACTAATGAATAATAACTGAATGATAATTATTTAATGACTAATTAACAAATTACTGTTAATTATGGGAAGATACTACACATGTAAAAGTTATCCAAGGAAGAAACAAAAAATGTCAAGAAGTACTGCAATGGGGAATCAGACAGCTAATGCTAAAGGAAGAAACTTCAAATAAAGAACACAATCTTTGACTTAAAATTTCCCATTATTTTTGATTGGTTTTTGCCAATTTCTAACAATAAACAGCATTTAACTTCATTTCACTTGTGTACAGGCTCTGTACCAAGCTCTTCACATTTCTTGTCTTCTTTCATCTTTAAAACACACTGAAGAGTTGCCATAAAAAAAAAAGAGTTGCCATCATCGTTTCCCTGTTGACAAGTATCAGGAAACTGAAGCTTAGGGAAGTGAGATACCATCCCCAAGGTTCTATATTTGGTGGTAAAGCCCAGCAAGGGATCCATATTTGACTCTAGAGCTTGAGTTAGTCACGCATCCACTGTGTTATCTGCTAAGATGGCCCTGCTATTGTGATTATTTTATTTAGGATAAAGTGATATGGAAAAACAGAACAATGCTTTTGGTTCCCAATTCTTCCCCTCCCATTATAGGTTCAGGACTACTCAGGCTTAGAAGGTGACACTCACCTCGTTTGTGAAGGAGAACGCTGGCATGCCTACGTCCATTTCCATTTTCAACATAACAGGAGTAATTTCCCAAGTCACCTTCTTCCACAGAGTCCACAATTAATGAGATGGAAACTTCCTGTTCCCCGAGATGCTCTTTGAGAATTCTAAAATATAAAGCAAAACGAAACAAAAAACCCCACACAAACATACACAAACATGAAAAGGAAAAAAAAATTAGATCAATCTGAATCTGAGGTGAAAATACCTATAGCATCTGTGCTTCAAATTTGGCTACGGATTAATGCTATCTTAATTAAATTATATCCTCTTCATTTCTAATGAGGAAGCTTGTTTTTGGAGATGCTAATGAAGTTGCAGTTAATTATCTCTCTTAGCAGGACAATCACACTGTCATAATAAGAGGTGAGAAAGACCTTGAAGACAAATTTACAAACTGATTTCCCTTTAAGAAATATGATATAGTAAAGGTGAGAGAAGAAATTTTAATGTCTTAGGCTGGGGGACTAATTATATAGATTGTTGTTTTTCTTTAAAGAAAGGAAAAATAGAAAATTTCTGAGCTAGTTTGACATTTTGGTTGAAAGCTCCAGCTTGGATTTTTTTTTTAATGATACAAATTAATTGCCTATTTTAAGAGAAATATGAAATTATAAATCCGTAGACTAAATGTTCTGATGAAGTGTTTATTTAATTCTGACATTAAATGAATAGTAAACACTAACCTCACTGTCAAAGGTTTTGTGATCTTTCAGAGCGAATGGAAAACCTTAAAGTGAGGCTCTTTTTCCCTGCTTGCAAGGGTTCCACCTCCATCCTCCCATTTGTTTGGTAACTCATGTCTGCACAATACTTCCTAATGTAGAATTAAAGAAATATACCTTCCTAGGCCCTTTCTTGAGCACTTGCAAAAAGAGAGAGAGGGTGAAAATTAGGAGGTTTATTGTCCTTCTTTAACTTTAATATCTCGAAGTACATGAGTAAAAAATAATAGTGAAGTTATAAATATGAAAAATGGCCCGGGAACATTTTAGTACATATTGGAGAATTGTCCATCTGGGCATTTCCAAACCCAGGTGAAGTGCAATATTCTTGTGTATTTGTCGCCAGGAAGAAGATCCCAGTAGAAATAACCTTATATGACAGTTTTATATGTTTTTAATATCACAGATCTTTTTCACTTATACTTTTGATCAGGTTATAAAAGTCCTTGAATTTAGGAGGAGGAGCCTTATATATGCTCATATATACCCAGAAGATGTAAACTTTAGATGGGAAAATGTTTACGCATGATCAGCATTTTGATTCAGTTATAACTTAATTATTATTTATATGCTTGCTTACTTATACTATGATTAAAAATGAGTATCTATGTCCAAGCATAATTTTAGCCATGATCAAATACCTGAATACTTAAAAGTAAATGAACAAATAAGTTTTTTTAAGGAGGTTTAAACATTATGCCCTCAAAATGGATGGTATTTTTTAATGGTTATCCTTTATCATTCCCACTATATTAATATTTAGACCTTAAAGTCAGACAAAAAAAGACAGTGAAAATATTTTGTATATCCTTTATCATTCCTATCAAATGCTTTATAATCCACTTGATGGCTCAAATATGTAAAAACATAAAAGGAAAACGACAGAGTTTGTGTTTGGTCGAGTCCTAGTACCTTGTTAATATTTCTTCTTGACAATATTTTTAAAAAACCTCTTATAAACAAAAGGCACAATTTCACATTTTCCATATTTGATGGTACTTTTAGTCTGTCTCATACTCAGTGTATTCCTTAGTGAAAAACGCCTTTCTATATCCCTTAAATTCTTTGCACACGGCATTCATGTTTTGTAATTTCACAGTTTCTTAACAGTGTTTTGTCTCTTTGCCATTCAATGTTGAGATGTTTTTATTATGATGGTAACCACCCCCAAATAAACCCCACCAAAACTCCCTTTACGTTCCTTTAGCTCACTTTCTATTCGCTAACAGAGCAAACATTAACTTGACTGTACAAGTTAAAAGAAAAAATTATTTTACCTAATGTCACTTTCCCAAACTCGATTTTCATCCAGATCTTCAATAAACTTTTCTCCTTTCATCCAATAAATTAAAGGACTGACATCTCCACTGTACCCAAAGAAAGCTCTGCAGGTTAGATTAGCTGAGTCACCTGCAGAGAGAAGTGATGGACATGGGTTATAAAACTATTTGTACACTCTTATTTTAGGCAAACTGGCAGGTAACATTTTAAGCACTTCATTGATTTAACGAAACATTTACCTAAAATGTTTTTTCAGCTATTTTTAATCTTTGTCAAATTTATAGAATATGTGCTTTTGACAGCTTGTTTAATGAAATGGGAGTTACTTATAAGATTTTGAAGAAGATTGGTCAGCTATTTTAGAGAAGGTTCTTCCCATTATGCTTGCCTCATGTTTTTACACAATTAGATTTAGGTTATGAATTATTGGGAATGATACCACAGAGGTGATGTGCTCTTCTCAAAGTATGATGTCAGAAGATAAATAATGTTAATAATTATAAGATTTCACAGGGCAGGTAGAAGGTGTTTCTCAGTCCTGACTGGAAAATCAAAAGGAGACAAAATCTTTGGAAGGGAAAGAAAAGGAACTGTAAATCCAGGATCCCTTAAAAATGTTATTAAAAAATCTTTACTGGATATGGAATAAGGTTCTAATTAAGGAAACCAACATATGCTCAGGTAGAAAAGCATATTTAAAAAAATGAACAACTCATGAGAATAAATTCTTGAGATTTTTTATTAGATGTAAAATCAATGATGTTACTGTGGAGATTAGTTTCTTTCAACATGCTACTCAGGAGAGATCATTGTAATGATGAATACATATTGGTTGATTACTTAATAAGGTAAGTGGAGGTCCCTGACTAAAAGGCAGAAATAAATTTAATGCTTGCACAAGTAAGGCTTATTTCTGGACTGGTTATGCCATTTTGCAAACACCTGGTTTCTCCAAGCCTTAGCTGGCATTAGAGAACTGAAATATTCCAGTACATACTAGTTTTAAGATCCTGTTGCCTCCAAGTGGAGCTACAAAATGGACGATGAGATGGGGAGCCATAAGGGCCTACTCCAGCTTGGATTGAGGCAAGGAACCTCTTAGTGTGTACAGAGTGCCAAGGCGAGTTGCCCCAAGATGGGCCACTTCAGCATACTGAGTATTTTAAATAAAAATTACTTAAAGAGACAGCCCGTACAAGGATGACATTTAGACCCTCCTCTATCTCCCTGAAAGCACAAAATGAATCTCCTATGTGAAAGGTACCCTCTTTGTACCAGAAAGTAAATAAGACACCCTTATCACCAGAGTCAGGGAATTTAGAGCGGAGAGGGCTGTAAAAATAACCCTTGTTACTTTTTACCAATGTTCTACTGCAGCCCAAATTCTCTTTAGAATTCCTTACTAACTCAAGCTCTCAAAGTTATTTTTTCTTTGGCCTGTCAATTTCTCACAGATTTATTGCTTCTTTGTCTAAAAAGCATAAAAACTTCCTGCCTTGGCCATTTCTTTAGGAATCAATTTCATTATTGGGCCTCCATGAGCATGTAATTAAAACCTTGGGCTTTTTCTCCTTTAAATCCATCTCATATCAATTCTTAGTCCAGCTGGAAGACCTTGAGTGGTAGAGGAAGAATTTTTCCTTCCCCTCAGGTACTATGAGAGGGGCTGAAAACCGTAATACCTTTGCTGGCATCTGAAGCAAGCAAATTTTCTGAATTTCATAAATTCTTGAGAAGATTCCAAAGGACAACTAAATGACCTTAAAGTGCAAAGAAGGAGAGTCCTAAAGACTGGAAACCTCAGAGCTAAGCTCTGAAATTGTGCTTACGAGTGATTGCATGAGTATGTCTACTTGCAGATTACATAGCTCATAAAGGGTTATATCCAAAATATATAAATAAAGAACTTATAGAACTCAAAACTCCCCCCAAAAATAATCCAATTTAAAAATGGGCAGAAGACACCAAAAGACATTTTTTCCAAGAAGACATACAGATGGCCAAAGACACATGAAAAGATGTTCAACACCACTCATCATCAGGGAAATGCAAATCAAAACTACAATGAGCTATCACCTCACACCTGTCAGAATGGCTAAAATTAACAACACAAGAAACAAGAAGTGTTGGCATGGATGTGGAGAAAAGGGAATGCTCTTGCACTGTTGATGGGAGTGCAAACTGATGCAGCCACTCTAGAAAACAGTACGGAGGTTCCTCAAAAAGTTAAAAATAGAAATGCCAACAATTGCACCACTAGGTATTTACCCAAAGAATATAAAAATACTAATTCAAAGGAATATATGCACACCAATGTTCCCTTTGACGATAAAGAAGATGTGGAATATGTATATATATATTCATATTTATATATATATGAATATTACTCAGTTATAAAAGAATGACATCTTGCCATTTGCAATCACATGGATGGAGCTAGAGAGTATTATGATAAGCAAAATAACTCAGAGAAAGACAAACACCATATGATTTCACTCATATGTGGAATTTAAGAAAGGAAACAAACGTGGATGGAACTGGAGGGTATTATGCTGAGTGAAGTAAGTCAATCAGAGAAGGACAAACATTATATAGTCTCATTCATTTGGGGAATATAAAAAATAGTGAAAGGGAAAAAAAGGGAAAGGAGAGAAAATGAGTGGGAAATATCCGAGAGGGTGACAGAACATGAGAGACACCTAATTCTGGGAAACGAACAAGGGGTACTGGAAAGGGAGGTGGGCAGGGGGTTGGGGTGACTGGGTGATGGGCACTGAGGGGGGCACTTGACGGGATGAGCACTGGGTGATATGCTATATGTTGGCAAAAGGAACTCCAATAAAAAAATAATAAAAAAATAAAAATCTTACTCAAGACAAAAAAAAAAGGAAACAAACAATAATAGGGGGAATAAAAGAGAGGAAAACCAAGAAATAGACTCTTAATTATGGAAAATAAACTGATGGTTACCAGAGAGGAGGTGGCTGGGGGGATGGCAGAAAGAGGTGATGGGGATTAAAGAGTGCCCTTGTGATGAGCACTGGGTGTTATGGAAGTGTTGAATCACTAAATTGTACACCTGAAATTAATATACTGTATGCTAACTAACTGGAGTTCAAATAAAAACTTTAAAAATCCTATTCTCCAAGCTCTACAATAAGAACATTTTTTATTGAATAAATTAATATTATCTTAATTCTATCCATTGTGTAAGAATAATTCATAAATAAATTCTTGCTTATCTAATATTTCTAAGATGGCACGATATAGCCTTTGCCTTTTATCTTTGTTTATGTCAGCATGTTCTCCAAGTAAGCGATTCCTCATGGATTTTGAACCTGTATACAATAGTCATCATTAGTGACAAGATAGGGAAAATCCAGAAAATGTCTACAAGCTTTTAAGAGGCAAAATGGGGCTCCAAGTAGGTTCCTTCATTATTAATTTTTGTATATAAATGTTTCCTAAATATTTCAATACGTAACCCTCCTTCCTTGGAGAATATTTACATTACAAAATGGATAATTGAATGTCAATCTTATTGACTGGAAATCAACTGTGGATTTCTATGGGAAGTGTCAATGCAATGTTACAAAACAATTTTAAACCTAATATTCTTTGCCTTCCCTTTTCATACATTCACCAGCTTTTATGCAATTGACCTACCTGTTACAGTGTCAAGGCAGTCATGTATTCAAAATGTAAATCTCAAAATACTACCTGGTGTGGTGATTAATATCACATGCCAACAGAACCAACAGATATTACAGAATTTTAAATTTCTATATATCAATAAATTAATCTGTTTTTTAAGAGATCAAGTTTTAATTTTTAGGTGGGAGCTAGTGACTGGAACTCTTAAATAGAAATCTCCAGAAATTACCTAATTTCCCATTATAGTTATATTAAATTTGGGGGTTTATAGATAATGATCATGCCATTAGCAACTCCACTTGATATTAGCAGAAAAGTGAATTGAATCTCTCATTGGGACCTGAATTTGTCCCTCTTGTCACAATCCTATGTTCCCAGATCAAGTAATTTTTCTATTATTTAATTCTTCATGTCTCTCATTTGCAATCTTTGTGCTGCAATACCTAGGAAATGGCTCCTGCACCCACATAAGAAATGATTTGCTTTCTCAGTCATTTTTGCTCACCTGATCTTTGACTACCTACCTTGCCTTAAGGTCCAGTATTGGAGGTATCTGCAGTATTATAGGGGCACTTAGGGGAACTCTACCCAGACTTGGACTGGGCTTGCTGTGGGTCAAATAGTGGAACTCATGGAAAGCATAAAAGAGGGTGGAAGGAAAAACAGAAAAGCACTCCACCCTGAGAGGAAATAGGATGAATGAAAGAATGCCAAGGAACTTTGGAGGAAATGAATAACTTCAGACTGGCTGAAGAAGCTCAGGTGTATGTGGGGGTGGAAGTGGGGAGAGGATTAGGGAGAGAGTAAAGTACTGATGAGACCAGAGCACTGGCAGCCATATCCTTCCATGTAGGTCATGTTGAAGAAGATTTGGGCCTTCCATTTAAAGGCAGGGCTAAGCTGGGGAAAGGTTTCAAGGAGGAGACTGACATAATCACATCTGAATTCTAAGGTAATAACTCTTACTGTATTTGCTAAACTGGGATTGGATCAGAGAGAATAAAGAAGGATTTAGAATGTTACAATTCTTTGGGATCACATAAGAAATAGTCACTGCAAAGCTTGGATTATTTCCACATAATTTCTTAAAAGGTGATAGCAGTGACTACAGGTCACTATGCTCTTTATCAATATGATAGGAGACCTTTCAAAGTGGAGATTAAATAAAAAGTCTGATAAAGTGGAAAACATTTTTTATTTTTATAATTTACATGCATCGGTGTGTGAGTAGGGGGAAGGGGGGGTAGATTGGGGAGTTGCCAGCTGCTTCTCAATGAAATCAAGATAGAAAGTCTGTTCTGTGAATAGATTTTTGAGTGGTTTCTCTCAATTATACCCCCTTGTGTGGCTGAACAAAAGGAGATCATGTCGCATATGCACAGCTATGCTAGCAGGAAAGGACAGGAGAAGCCCAGTGGAGCCTATCTTGAGAGAAGTGCCCCGTAAAGTCTGGCTCACACCTGAGACTACCCAAC